GGGCCAAGGGTGCGGTGTGGGCACAGACCCCGGCAGTTGGGATTTCCAGGGTCGATAAACGGAGCCACCTTCCCACCCCTGCCTGCACCCTGCCCCTGGCCCCTCCATCCCCAGATCGAGAAACTCAAAGCGGAGCAGAGCAAGCAGCCGCCCACTCCCCTGCTGGGGCGCAAGTTCTTCGGGGACCCCACGGAACTGGCGGCCAAGGCGGCGCCCCTGCTGCGGCCCGCGGGCTACGACAGGGCCTTGGAGCCCCTGGCCCGCCGGGCTTCGGACACGTTGTCGGCCGAGGTGCGGACACGGGTCGGCTACGTGCGCCAGGAGCTCAAGCCCGAGCGCCTCCAGCCGCGCATCGACCGGCTGCCGGAGGTCGCGGGCAAGGCGGAGACCACGGCCCCGCCGGCAGCTCCGGAAGACGCGGCCGAGACCCCCGGGACCCCTGCGGCGGCGGAGCAGGTCCGGCCACGGCCCGAGCGCCAGGAATCCGCGGACCGCGCGGAGGAGCTGCCCAGGCGGCGGCGGCCAGAGCGGCAGGAGTCGGTCGATCCCTCCGAGGAGGCCACGCGGAGGCGGCGGCCGGAGCGGCAGGAGGCGGCGGAGCACGAGGCGGCACACAGCCTCACCCTGGGCCGCTACGAGCAGATGGAGCGGCGGCGCGAGCGGCGCGAGCGGCGCTTGGAGCGGCAGGAGTCCAGCGAGCAGGAGATGCCCGCCAGGGGAGACCTGGCCAAGGGGTGAGGCCCGGGTGACCGCGGAGTGCGGAGGAGGGGGACGGAGGAAGGCCTGGGGAGGGTGATACCTGCTTCCTACCCATTTTGCAGAGGTGTAAACTGCGGCTGAAAGAGCCGAGATGTGCCGGTTGTCCCAGAGCTGACCTAGAGAAGGCTCCGGGCCTCAGTTTCCCCTCTGGGCTGATGGTAGAACCATCACCCCCTCAGTGCCAACAGCCCCATCAAGGTGGTCATGCCCACTGTATGGACTGGTCGCACTCAGGTGTCACTGGGCCTGGTAGGGCACGGACTGGAGCTCCCAGCTTTGAGAACACAGTTCCGCAGAGTGGGCTGTCAGCTGTGCCCCTCCCCCCCCCATAGAAGGCATTGGTCACGAGACAGTGACTTCGCGAGCCTCTTAAATGTTCCTGTTTATCGGGCATGCGCTGAGCACCCATCCTGTGCCGGGCGTGTGTGGGGGAGGGTAGTGACCGAACTGGTCCCAGCCCTGCCCTCACGGGGCTCACGGTCCAGTAGGGGACGCGGCCTTGAGGTCACCTGGCCAGGGCTGGGATGCGGAAGTTCCTGGGGGCCCAAGACCTCAGGGAGGGGGTGGGAGAAAGCACCAGTGAGCCCCGAGGCACCAGGGCGTGGCTTGCATCTCCACTTTTGTGCTGGGGAAAACTCCGGAACACCTGTAGAGCCTGAGGCTAGAATCCGAGAGGCCCACAGTCAAGGACCGGGCCTGCCGTTTGGGATCTCTGGGAGAAGGCAAAACTGACTCCAGGTGCACTGGGCTTTTCTGTACCCCCTCCCCCAGGAAGGCCACCCTGGCTGACATCGTGGAGCAGCTGCAGGAGAAAGAGGCCGGCCCAGGGCTCCCTGCCGGGGTAAGCTGAGCCTCGGATGGGTGGGAGTTGGGGACCCCTCCCCTCAGAGCAGGAGTCAGGATCTCAGAAACACCCAGTGTCTAGCGCCCAGAAACTCCCACAGGAAGATGGGAGAGTGGGCCCGGGAGACCCCCACCTACCCTACACACACTCACTCGACTCCCTACTTCCTCAGAGCCAGCCACATACACAGATCACCCCCAGGACAATGGGGCACCTGCCTGCACCCCCACAGGTGTAGCCCCCTCCTCCCACAGTGACAGGGACTCCAGGCCAGTCCTGGCAGGCTCCCTCCCAAGGCTCCTGGGGCTCCTAATCCCTTCCACACACGCCTCCAAGAAGCCAGCCCCGCAGACGGATGGGACCCCAGACCCACGGGCTCCCCCAGGCAGATGGCCGCCGCTCCCCCCACCATGGACAGCACTCCTCTTCCCCCTCCCTTCACACAGCCGTCGCTGCCTCAGCCTCGCGAGCTTCCCCCCGGCCGCCTGCCCAACGGGCTTGAGCCGCCCGAGCGGACACCTCGGCCGGACCGGCCGCGGGCGCGGGACCGGCCCAAGCCGCGACGGCGGCCGCGGCCTCGCGAGGGTGGTGAGGGCGGGGGAAGCCGGCGCTCGCGCTCCGCCCCGGCCCAGGGCGGCTCCGCCCCCGCGCCTCCGCCACCGCCCACTCACACAGTGCAGCACGAGGGCTTCCTGCTGCGCAAGCGCGAGCTCGACGCTAACCGCAAGTCGTCGAACCGGTGAGCGTGGGGGCGGGGTTCTGGAAGGCGGGGCCCAAGCTGAGTGTCCAATGAGTGAATAGGAGGTTGTGAGGAAGGGGTAGGGCTCAACTTCGAGAGGACCAACCGGTGGGGGTGGAGCCAGGGGAGGAGCTGGGCTAAACATCAGATGCCAACCAGTGGACAGGAGGGGCGGGGCCTAAGGTTGGTGCCGAGTGGGTGGAGCTTATATGGGGACAAGACACAGCTATTAAGAAAGTAAATAAATTAGGGCCCAATCTTAGAGCAGCCAACTCAGGAGCTAAATGGCAAACCACAGTGGAGTCCAGCGGGTTCCAGTGGCGTGTGAGGTGGAGCCTCAAGGGATCAAACCGGTGGGGGGGGTCCGCCCTCAAATTTTGGGTAGGGAGAGGGTGTGAAAGGGGGTTTAGCCCACACTTCGAGGGCTAAGTGGAAGGTGAGGCATCTCGCACAGGTTTCCAGAGGAGGGTGTCGCGGTGATGTTGACTCTTGGAGTCCAGCTCCTGGCTGTCCAGCTGCTTGTCCAGCCGAGAGGCAGAGTCTGTTGAGTGGTGGAGCCCCAGCCAGCAAGTGGGGCGGGGCCAAGGCCCAGAGGCCAAGAGGGCAGGGCGGGTTCCCATCCTGTCGGGGGTCTGGAGGGGTCCTTCCTGCTGTGCCTAGGGGCCCAAGGGTCCTTTGCTCCGGGGGTTCCTCCCGGACAGGCTTTCCTCCTCACTGGACCTCACGAGGACTCCATGAGGGTGAGGAGCGGGGGGAATGGATGGAGCAGAGGTTTGTGGAGGAGACGGCTCAAGTCTTGCCTTGGGGAGGCCTGAGGGGGGCAACCCCAGGAGGGACCAGCCTGGGGAAGGGCTTGGTGCTCCAGGTGGAGACGCTGTGAGCTCAGAAGCAGCCCGCCATGGGCGTCTGGTAGGCGGGCTCAGGCCAGGAGTCCCCAGGCGGAGTGCCGCGGTTCTTCCAGGTCGTGGGTGAGCCTGTACTGCGTGCTCAGCAAAGGGGAGCTGGGCTTCTACAAGGACGCCAAGGGCCCGGCCTCGGGGGGGACACACGGCGGGGAGCCCCTGCTCAGCCTGCACAAGGCCACCAGCGAGGTGGCTAGCGACTACAAGAAGAAGAAGCATGTCTTCAAGCTCCAGTAAGCCCGGGCGCGGGTGGGAGGGAGGGACCCAAGGCCCCGGCTCCCTCTCCCAGCAGAACCCTGGCTCCTGGAAGACAGCTGGGGGGTGGGCAGGCTGGCCTCTTCCCCCAAGCCCTGTGTGCCCTTCCTGCAGGACCCAGGACGGCAGCGAGTTTTTGCTCCAAGCTAAAGACGAGGTGAGAACCGGGCCCTCGCCTGCGTGGCTAGCTCCTGGCGCAGAGGGAGGGAAACACACAGCCCCAAGCTCTCAGGGCTGCAGAGGGAGGGCCCTGGCTTGGGGTGGGGGGAAAGGCAGGAGCAGGTGACAGGGACAGGACTTGAATGACGCCAGCAGCTAAGGGGTGAAGTCAGGGAAGGAGCGTTGAGAGCTGTGGAGTCGCAGATAACCTCATTATCTCATTCAGCGCTCCCAGAGGCCTGAAGTCGGTCTTGTTCCCTGGCACCTCTTCCTTACCTGTGAAATGGAGGTGAAGGCGGATTCCCCTCGTAGGGTTATTGTGATAATTCACAGAGCAGGCACCTGCAGGGCACGCGGCAGTGTTCTGGAGGGATCCGCCGCTATGGGTAGTGTGTGTGGTTGAGCGCCGCACAGGTTCACGGGAACACAGCCACAGGAATGCTGGGGACCGAGCCTGGCACCTGTGTGCTGTGTCACTCAGTGCCACCTTGTCGCGCCCCTCTCCTCCCTACTGGGATTTACGAGATGAGAAAACGCAGCTTCGCAGAGGGCGGGCTCGTTCCACAGTCCTCTGTTCCTCCAGCTCCACTCGTCCAAATATAGACTCGGTGCCCTGTTTCTTCCCGCAGGAGGAGATGAACGGCTGGCTGGAGGCTGTGGCCGCCTCCGTGGCGGAACACGCCGAGATCGCCCGCTGGGGCCAGACGCTGCCCACCACGTCGTCCACCGACGAGGGCAACCCCAAGCGAGAAGGCGGGGAGCGCAGGGCCAGCGGGCGCCGGAAGTGACCTGACTCCCCTGCCCGGGGCCACACCCGTCTCCTCGCCCCTCCTCTCAGCACTGTGGGCACAAAGACACTTTCTCCTCCGCGGGGGCCGGAGCCCCTCGTTCCATCACTGCGGATGCGCCATGACGGGCACTGGGAAGGAGGGGCTTCTCCTGCACCCCAAGAAGTGGTCAGGGGACTGCTGCCCCTACAGCCATATATCGGCCCCTTCCTGCTCGCCACCCCCACCCCCGGTGCTGGGGCTCCATTATTTTTTATGCAATAACTGAGCTTGGTGGGGGTGGGCAGGAGGCCAGTTGAGCCAAGCCCCCTGCCCCGATCCGTAGATCCTGCCCCAAGAAGTCGGGGTGGTGGGGGCGGTCATTCCTGTCCCCTCTCCGCCCTAGGGATGGGCACGGGGGCGCTGGTGAGGTCCCCTGGGCCATCCAGGGTGCTAGGGGGTGGGGAGGGGACACCTCCTCCCCGCCTTTACCTCACTTCCAATGCTGCCTTGATCTCTGTCTGGGAGGGGGCGTGGAGGGGCCCATGCCCCTGCACTCCGCCGCCTCAGAGCCATGTGGTTAATTCCCGACTTAGTTTATTTTTGCAAAATGTCAACTTCCTCCTCTTCCCCGCCCCCGCCCCCCCCCCCCGCATCCGCGAAGGCTTTTAACGGGAGGGGCGTCAAAGCTCAACCCTGTCTCCCTCCCCGCCTCCCCAGCTGTAAATGCCACCTCTCGAGGGGAGGGGGGAGGGGAAGCCCTCCCCTGCATGCCTCTGGCTGGAGCACCTCCGTGGGCAGGGCGGGGGGGCCGGCTCTGGGCAGCCCCCGGGGCCGCCTGGAGGAGCTGCTGGGGCCCAGGGGTGTGGGCAGTGTGGCGGGCGCACACTACGAACCTGTAATAAACCCTTTGGCTTTGACGGTCTGTTCTGGTTTGTCTGCCTTTCCTGGGCTCTCCAGGGACGACTAGAGGGAGGGTGGGGGGCGTGGCTGCCCAGAACTGCTAGATGTACCCCTGGTGTGGACTTATTTCAGGATGTAAACATGCGCCAGTCGACGAAGCAGCCAGATGCCATACCTAAAACGGGAACCCCACAGGGCCCAGGATGTACTCAAACTTCCCCAAAGGAGCCGCGGGGCCCGCCCCGTCCAGCGCAGGAAAGGCGCGGCTCTTTAAGGAGGCGGAGAATCGAATTTTGACGGGCGAGAGTTCTGCCCAATCATTGGTGGCTCTTGGAGTCTCTGACCCAATGAGCACGTTGTGGGGGCGGGGTCTACGTGCACACCCGGAAGTGAGTGCAGGCCGGCTGGCTCGCCCGGGGACCATGGCTGCGGCGGCGGCTGCAGCGGAGGGGGTCCCGGGTCGGGGTCCTCCCGGGGAAGTGATTCATCTGAATGTGGGAGGCAAGAGGTGAGTGTGGAAGATTCCGGAGGCCGTACCCTAGGGGGCGGGAAGCGAGCGGGAGTACCCGCCTCTCCCCGGGGGAATCCCTGTCCATCAAGGGCTGCTCCGCCCCCCTGCCAGAGGCGGGAGAACCCGGGAAAACGCCGGGGGTGGGGGAAACGCACGGGATCCTGCTGAGGGGCCGCCTTCCTCACCCTCTCTCCCACGGCTCGTGCGTCCGCCGACCTCGACCTCGCAGGTTCAGTACCTCTCGCCAGACTCTCACCTGGATCCCAGACTCTTTCTTCTCCAGGTGATCGGGAGAGCGAGCTGGGGACGGGGGCGGGGAATCGGGTGGGGAGGATGTGGGGCGCCCTCATTCTTGCCGCCCACCCCCTGCCCGGCCGTGACGCCGGCTGTGTGCCCCCTTCCCGCAGTCTTCTGAGCGGACGCATCTCCACGCTGAAAGACGAGACCGGAGCCGTGAGTGGGGCGGGAGCCGAGGTGGGGCGGCGGGGAGGAGGCGCGACGGGACCCCCTGCTCAGCCGGGCTCTTGGCCCCTCCACCCTCTACCCTTCCCCCTGCTTTCTCACAGATCTTCATCGACAGGGACCCCACCGTCTTCGCCCCCATTCTCAACTTCCTGCGCACCAAAGAGTTGGACCCTAGGTGGGCTTGGATGAAGGGGAGTGGGTGTCCCTACCTCCTCCCCGAGGGGACTCTTCCCTCCCTCCGATGTGCGCTTAAGCGCCGTTCTGTTAGACTTACTCAGAGCTTGGCCGCGTTAAAACTGTATGTCCATGGCGTCCCCCCACCCACGTCATCACAAATGGGAATCCTGAGCCTGTCAAAATCGGCTGTGTCTGTACCCACCCCCATGCCCCAGAGCCTGACCCCGGTCAATTCTACTGCCTAGGGGTGTCCATGGTTCCAGCCTCCTCCACGAAGCCCAGTTCTATGGGCTCACTCCTCTGGGTAAGTGGGGCCCCTGACGAGCACCCTCCCTGCTTGGAAAGCCAGCTCTCTCCCCCCTGCCCTCTCCCCCTCTCTCCTGAAAAAGGGTTGGGTTGGCACCAAGAGCCCTGGAGGTGGCCCTGGGTCTGAGGGCAGTGGGGGTGGCCTGAGGCGGGAGGCGGGAGGCGGGCAGGCGCCTGCCTCCGTGCCCCCAGGTCCGAGCCTTTGAGTCCTCCTGTCGCAGTTCGACGCCTGCAGCTGCGGGAGGAGTTGGATCGATCTTCCTGCGGAAATGTCCTCTTCAATGGTTACCTGCCCCCACCAGGTGGGCACTCCCGGGGGCTGAGGGGAGGGAGGTGGCGGGAGACTGCATTTCCCATGAGGCTGCAGCCCTCCGGTGCCTGCCCGGTGAGCCCAGGGACATGATGGCTGTGGTTCTGTCTGAGATGCTTGGGAAGAAGTGGGGAACAGCATTTCCCACGAGGCAGTGCGGCCAGTTGGGTCTCCTTGAGGTGCAGAAGCATGCCCCAGAGCCCACTGGGAGTTGTAGTCCTAGGGGGAGGCTGTGGATGAACTGCGTCCTATGCAGGGAAAGAGGAAATATTAAAGGAAATATTAAAGTTCCCGGGTTCTAGTCCCGGTCGGGGCGCCAGATTCTGTCCCGGTTGCCCCTCTTCCAGGCCAGCTCTCTGCTGTGGCCCAGGAGTGCAGTGGAGGATGGCCCGAGTACTTGGGCCCTGCACCCCATGGGAGACCAGGATAAGTACCTGGCTCCTGCCATCAGATCAGCATGGTGCGCTGGCTGCAGCGCGCCGGCCGTGGCGACCATTGGAGGGTGAACCAACGGCAAAGGAAGACCTTTCTCTCTGTCTCTCTCTCTTACTGTCCACTCTGCCTGTCAAAAAAAAAAAAAAAGTTGTTGATAATCTCCATGAGAGCCTGCAGCAGCCAGCCCACTGCCGGCCACGGGAAGCATGGGGACTGCAGGCTTTGCCGAGTGGTGGGAGAAGCAGAATGGGGGAATTTAAGCTAGAACTTGTTCCATAAGCTCAGTCGTTATGTACCACCTGCATGAGTTTGCCTGCACTGTTCTTTCCCCATTTACTTCACTTTCAAAAGAGTTGTTTTAAACAGGAGCTTTCTCTTTGTTAATATTTATTTTTATTTATTTAACAGAGAGAGAGAGAGAGAGAGAGAGAGAGAGATCTTCCATCTGTTGATTCACTCCCCAAATAGTCGTAATGGCCAGGGCTGGCAAAGGGCTGGGCCAGGCGGAAGCCAGGAACCAGGAGCTTCATCCGGGTCTTCCGCATGGGTGCAGGGGCCCAAACACTTGGGCCATCTTCAGCTGCTTTCCCAGGTGCATTAGCAGGGAGCTGGATCAGAAGCAGAGCAGCCGGGACTCGCCCGTATGGGATGCTGGCGGTGCAGGCGGTGGCTTCACCCGCTGTGCCAGGGTTCCGGTCCCTCCGCAGAAGCTGCCTAGCACCACTACCTTTCCACCATAAAGTTAGCACGAAATGAAGCACAGCCACAGAGTGCTGGTGGACTGGCCAGGCGCTGGTGCCTGCCGGGGAGCGGGCTCCCGCCTGCTGCACAGTGGGCTCCTGGGGGCCCGGGTCGCTGTGTGACCCGATGTCACCACACGCCATGTCCCCGCACACCACGTAGGGGTCAGCCTGTGTCACATCCAAAGTGCTTGCTAAATGACAGCCGGATTACAATGGTTGCTACCCGCCCCTCCTCCCCACCAGTGTTTCCGGTGAAGCGGAGGAGCCGGCACAGCCTGGTGGGACCCCAGCAGGTAGGAGGGCGCCCAGCTCCTGTTCGCCGGAGCAACACGATGCCCCCTAACCTGGGCAATGCAGGGCTGCTGGGGCGGATGCCGGATGAGAGGGCCCCACCCTCTCCGTCAGGTAGGTGCCTGGCCTTGCCGTCCGCGCAGCCCGCGGGGCCCCGTGACCCTGCCCTCAGCCCTGCCCTTCCCTCCAAGGGCAACCCGAGGAGCCGGGGATGGTTCGCCTGGTCTGCGGACACCACAGCTGGATCGCCGTGGCCTATACCCAGTTCCTTGTCTGCTACAGGTGCTCAGGGAGGGGCCGGGAGGTCTGAGCCCCATGGACAGGGCGGGCGTGAGGGCAGGGGTGATGGCGTCCCCCATTCTGCAGGCTGAAGGAAGCCTCCGGCTGGCAGCTGGTGTTCTCCAGCCCCCGCCTGGACTGGCCCATTGAGCGCCTGGCGCTCACAGCCCGCGTGCCCGGCGGCGCCTTGGGCGAGCACGACAAGATGGTGGCCGCGGCCACGGGCGGCGAGATCCTGCTGTGGGCCCTGCAGGCAGAAGGCGGTGGCTCGGAGATAGGTACGGCCCCAGGCCTTTTCCAGAAACTTCTTCCCCTCAGACTCCCGCGGCCTGTGCACCAGTCCTCTGCCGCCTTAGATCTCGGGCTCCTCGGGGTGCTCCGGCCATTAGCATGCCTGAACGGCGCGGGAAACCCACATGCAGTTCCCGCCTCCACCAGGCCCCCCCTGCCTTGTCAGGTCCCCGCCTTGCCGGAGCGCTCCAAGCTCGCAGAGCCCGGGTCTGTCCCCATGAGGAGTCTCCGGCTTGCGGGACAGGTCTGCCTGTTGGCGTCCTCAGAGCTGGCGGCTCCTCGGTCCCTGGAGTTCTTCCTGCAGTGTCCTCCCCCCCCCCCATCCCCCACCCCTGCCCCGCCAGGCACCCCCGCTGAGCCCTCCTTGCCCTCCGCAGGGGTCTTCCATCTGGGGGTGCCGGTGGAGGCCTTGTTCTTTGTCGGGAACCAGCTCATCGCCACGAGCCACACAGGGCGCATCGGGGTGTGGAACGCCGTCACCAAGCACTGGCAGGTAGGCCTCCGCTAGCCTGGCTGCCCCCGCTTCCAGGCTCTGCCCTGCAGGGACCTGGCGCGTGGGTTCCCTTCTGTGCCCTCCCTGGGGAGAGAGCCCGAGAACACAGCAGTGGGCCAGAACCAGGGGATGAGTGTGATGGCAGCCTAAGGAGCCTCAGGGAGGCCAGAAATACAGTGTGGAGGAGAAACTCGGGGCACAGGGACAGAGCCACCCACGCCCAGGGGTCGCAGGAGAACAGCTGGAAACAGGCTGGGGAGGGTGTGTCTCCAGGGGCCCTGTCCCGCCCACCGCAGGTGCAGGAGCTGCAGCCCATCACCAGCTATGACGCGGCCGGCTCCTTCCTTCTCCTGGGCTGTAACAACGGCTCCATCTACTACGTGGGTGAGCAGCCCCCACCCCCCAGAAACAGCAGGGGGAGGGCACAGGGAGGGTGTCATGAGTGAGCCTGCCACGGCCCCCTGCCCCACGGGGAGGGTGCCCTGAGTAAGCCCGCCACGCTCCCCTGCTTGAGGGAGCCTGCCACACCCCTCAGCCCCACAGGGAGGGCGCCCTGAGCGAGCCTGCCAGCCCCCCTGCCCCACTGGGAGGGCCCTGAGGACGCCCTGAGCCAGCCTGCCACACCCCCCTGCCCCACGGGGAGGGCGGGGAGGGCGTCTTGAGGGAGCCTGCCACGCCCCTCAGCCCCATGGGGAGGGCTCCCTGAGTAAGCCCGC